ACTCCGGCAGCGGCAGCAGGGGCAGTTCCCATGGAGCTGCCGTTCCCTCCAACGTTTCTTCCTTTCTCTCTTCAGAAGCAGCGCGGCGTGGTTCCCTGTGTTTGGGAACAGCAGCCAGCAGGCTGCCAGAGATCCAACTGCGCCTTGCAGCGCACAGAGGGACGCGATGGGGACGGACCGTCCTTCCTGCCAGGCAAGAGTGAGTTTCTTCAGTCCTCTGTCATGAAGGATGGAAGGATGAATTTTGAGAATTGCTTCTGGGCGGGTGCAGTGCTGCAGGAGATGTCGAGCCACCACCCATTTGGATGCAGGAAGGAGCAGTGAGAAGTGAACTATCTGTGTGTATTTTGGCTGTCAAAGTAGCATCTTTCTGTTTTCTGGGGGGACGTGGGCTTACTGGACAATACTTCTGCTGCTTGCTGGTGTCTGTGAAATCAACACACAGTCTGTTGTTGTAGGGACGGAGCCTGCGCGCCCATGGAATGGTGCAGGGCAAGGAGGGAAATGGAAAGCCTCCGCTGGTAAGAAGCTCTTGTGAGCTGTGGTGTGGGTACCTGCCTCTAAATAGGGCTGCGTGAAGGGCAGTGTGTGTGAGGGAGGGGAGAGGAAAGGGCATGGCAGTTCTGTGCTGACTGCAGAAAGGCACAACGTTGGAGCAGCGGAAAGGCAGCTTGAATCATCTGCTCTTGAAGACCAGAAGTTTGTGGTTGGCTGTGCTCAAACCTTCCTCCACGGAGATGCTCTTCATGTCTTTGTTGTCTCCTTTCTGTCAGAAGCTGATGCAAGCTGCCTTCCAGCAAAGCGCAGCCATGTGGAAAGCCAGGGGAGGAGCACAGAGTGTGGCACAGCACCCAAGAGAGGTACAGACGCACAACAGGCATCTGGGTTTGGTGCACTGCATTTCTAGTTAGGCTTTCTGCCTGTTCTTTCCTGGGACTGATCTTATTGTGTGTTGCTTTGGGTCTTAATCCCTGGGCTTTGCAGTTACCTTTCCTGTTCTGATTTGTAATGGGAACCCAACGTTCACCCGACATCCCTTACCGTGAACATGGTACGGGAGAGCTGGCATTGAGCCTTTGGGATTTTCTTGGTTTTACAACAGTGACGGATGTGCCAGAAGACATCACGGACATTCAGAGTTTGCTCTCTTGGATCAATGGTGAGTTTGGGGGCTGCAGAGCCCGCAGGTGCGTGTTTACACCGAGTGGGTGCAGTTCCTGCTGCAGCAGGAGATAGACATGGCCATAGCCAACCGGTACGGCTACCCGTAACCCTGCGCTCCTTGCCGGCCCTGCAGCTCCAGGCGGCAGCTGCAGCGTTCCAGGGGCACCACCAGCGGCCCCATCCCTCCCCTCCTGAACCCAGCCGTCCTCCACAGTCAGCAGTGCGGTGGGATGGGACGTTGTCTGGGCGCTCAGCTGTGGTGGAATGGGAAATTTAGGATTACTGTCGTTTCTGTTTCTCGTTGTATTCTCGGATAGGTTATAAAAAGCTTTGTGTTTGTGTTTTGCTACGTCCCTCTGCCTGCAGTCATTTGTGCTGTGTCACAGCCCCCCAGCTCCCCACGCCCACCTCCGGGGCAGGATGGGGCACCACAGATGGCCACGGTGTCCCTCAGCTGCCACCAGCATCCCCAGCCCTCCTCTCTCCCTGCAGTCCTTTGTGCAGCGGGATGCAGAGGACGTTTCACACAGCTCGCCTGCTCTGCCCAGTGCTGTGAATTGCCGTGGGGATGGGCAGCAGGCAGGGCACGGGCGATGGAGGGGAATCGCATCAGCTCGCCGTGGCCAGCAGAGACACCAGCAGCGGCAGCAGGGGCAGTTCCCATGGAGGGGGGAAGCAGGGGCGGCTGGGCCTGCCGTGCAGACGGACAGACAGGCATCAAGACGCCTCCCACGTCATGGCTCTTCTGCCCCCACACCGTTTGGCTCCTGGCACTTTTGTCTGCAGACGGGGACCCGGCCAAGTCTGTACACCCAGAGCAGGATTTTCCAGCTGGCGGCTGCTCACGAGTGCTGTCCCCCCGGGCTGGGGACTGGG